GGGGGTGTATGTGTTTGCGGGGGTGTGGCGTATATGTCTGGGGAGGGGTGTATATGTCCTAAGAAATCTAAAAGTAGATTTCTTATTAGAAACACAATCGTAGTTGCTCTTCTTTAAGAGCACCTAGGGAATTGTCAATTGATTTTAATCTATACATGATTGGAATGATGTGGCTCCTTGCTTCTTCTCTGAAGTAGAAAACTGTTTGAAAGTCTAAGATAGCTGAGACTTCATTTCTTGTTGCAAAATAGAATTTATTTAAGTGGCAGAGTCCCAGTGGGGCCCCCTAACATGAGTGATTGCTATTACATGCAGTCTACCAAAATGAGTGGTTTCATTGCCTTTAGTGAAGGCTTCTTCAAATGTGATTTAACTTATCTCTAATGAAAATTGGGGCATAGTTTATACTTTCTGATATCTTTCTATTCCTTCTGTGGGCAATATAATTTCTTTAAATGCTTCCTCTACATTTATAAATTATAGAATAATGACTGTAACCAGCAATCGCTGAATATGTTTTTCTGAATACTCAGACTTGTGCAGAACAGCTGCATTTTATTTCCTATATTTTAATTTAATTCATTTTCATTTTTAATGTGTCAGAAGTCATTGTTAAGGTTTATTCTGATACAGTGGTTTTGGTCTCCGACTAACAGTACCATAGCTAGACTGTTAGTTCTATATCAGAAGATGTGCTCTGTGTTTACACGCATTGTTTGAAAGCCTCATAATGAAACAAAAATAATTTTTCTGATTTTTCCAAGGATGAAACTGAACCTTAGACTCAAGTAAATCGTTCACAGTCTATACTGTTGGGTAACTGGGCCTTAGATTCAAATGCAGATACATCTGATGCCAAAACCTGAGGTTTTATTTTGACCTGAGGTCAGAATTAAGTGTGTGTATATATGTGTTACCTCTTACTGTCTAGTCTTCCTAGGCTCAAATAGACAGAAACTGTGACCAAGCATTTTCCTAACTAATCCATATCAGAACATATACTGAAAGTGCCCTAGACCATAGAGCTAAAGTTGATGTATCATTTAGTGATTTTCCTTTCTTTGACTTCTGGCAGAAGCTCTCATTAGAATCAGGGCCAATTGTTTCCTCTAATGATGAGGCAGGGTAGCCTGAGGCTATCCTGGGAAAGGCAAGTTTATTTATCATCGTTTTCTTTGTTCTATGGATAATATCCAGCATGCAGCTCTGACTGGCCCCATGAGGAGAGATATGCTAATTCTTCCACTGTACAAGGAGAAACATTGTACAATATTCAGCTATTCCCTAATGTTATGAATGCAATTTTTAAGCAATTATAAAAGAATATGCATATTTATTAAAACTCATTCCTACACCAAAAAAACCCTCACTGAACAGATTTCATTGCAATGAAATATAGTGAACAGTAGAAATAGGATGTTTTAAAGGTGTTCGGAACCTTCGTAAATTGGAAATCTGTGACAAAATATAATAGTTCACAACAGAAAACAGTGAATGTGCCACTTAACAACAGAATTTAAATATTCAGAGTAAAACCAATAGTCAAGTACCCTGCCAGGCTGTTAGAAACTGAAGGTGAGAGCCCATTAGTTCAATGAGATAGGAATTTTCCAGAAAGAGTAAAGGTTATTTCTGAAGAAAATATAGACAGTGCCTACATATTTTTAAAAAAAATTATTGAGCTTTTGTGCATTTGCTACAACAGTCCTCAATCAAATTTAGAAACCCCCCTCCTCATCCGTGACCCCCACCAGACTGCATGTGTTCCACCATACATGCTAAGTCCTATCCAGCCAAGCATTTGTACCCAGATGTCCTTCAGTACAAATTCCCTCACAGGAGTCTAGCCAGCCTATCTAGAGACCGTTGGTAAGGCCTACTCTCCCTCATCCAGTAGTGATCAGTCTCCAATACCTATGTTTTAAAACAACAGAGAAGAATCAGCAGTGCTTCTCACCTTGGCTTTGCCTGGCTTCTTACTTTCTCCCTTGGCTCTTCACCAGGTTTCTCGCCAATACCACTTTCAGAGGTGTCAGTGGGTCCATCAAAGTGAAAGGTTCCACCATCATCAGCTCAGAGAACAACTTTTTCATCTGGAACCTGCAGCATGACCCGATGGGAAAACCAATGTGGACTCGCTTGGGCAGCTGGCAAGGGGGGAAGATTGTCATGGACTATGGAATATGGCCAGAGCAAGCCCAGAGGCACAAAACCCACTTCCAGCATGCAAATAAGCTACACTTGAGAGTGGTGACCTTGATTGAACACCCATTTGTCTTCACAAGAGAAGTAGATGAAGAAGGCCTATGTCCTGCTGGCCAACTCTGTCTGGACCCTATGACTAATGACTCTTCCATATTGGACAGCCTGTTTAGTAGTCTCCATAGCAATAATGATACAGTGCCAATCCAGTTCAAGAAGTGTTGCTATGGGTATTGCATTGATCTACTGGAACAGCTAGCAGAGGACATGAACTTTGACTTTGACCTTTATGTTGTGGGGGATGGAAAGTATGGAGCCTGGAAGAATGGCCACTGGACTGGGCTAGTGGGTGATCTCCTGAGTGGGACTGCCCACATGGCAGTCACTTCCTTCAGCATCAATACTGCACGAAGCCAGGTGATAGATTTCACCAGTCCTTTCTTCTCAACCAGCTTGGGCATCTTAGTGAGAACTCGAGACACAGCAGCTCCCATTGGAGCCTTCATGTGGCCCCTCCACTGGACCATGTGGCTGGGGATTTTTGTGGCTCTGCACATCACTGCCATCTTTCTCACACTGTATGAATGGAAGAGTCCCTTTGGTATGACTCCTAAAGGGAGGAATAGAAGCAAAGTCTTCTCCTTCTCTTCGGCCTTGAATGTCTGTTATGCCCTTTTGTTTGGCAGAACAGCAGCCATCAAACCCCCAAAATGCTGGACTGGAAGATTTCTAATGAACCTTTGGGCCATTTTCTGTATGTTTTGCCTTTCCACGTATACGGCAAACTTAGCTGCTGTCATGGTAGGTGAGAAGATTTATGAAGAGCTTTCTGGAATTCATGACCCTAAGGTAATTATTTCCTTTTACTTCAGCTTTCTTTATTGCCCATTATAACTCCATGTATTGGGCCTACTGCTGTGGTATACCTATCTTCTTCATATAATTTCAAAAATAGTCTCTAAGTCAGACTGGGGAGATAATTCATGAGGACCCGAGTTTCAGCCACAGAATTCACATTAAAAGCTGGGGGGAGAGTGGGAGTGAGGGGTGACATTTGCTTGTAATCCTAGTATTGAAGAAGATCCGTATGCCTTGCTGGCCAGCAATTCCAGGCCAGTGAGAAAACTTGTATCAAAAACTAAGGCCAAGTGTGACATACCCCCTTTAATCCCAGCACTTAGAAGGCAGAGGCAGGCTGATCCCTATGAGTTCACAACCAGCCTGATCTACATAGCGGGTTCCAAACTAGCCAGAACTACACAGAAAGACCCTGTCTCAAAAATGAAACAAAAACAAACAAAAAATAAAACAAGGTACATTGTGTCTCAAGAAATGACACTCAAAATTGACCACTAGCTTCCATAGGCACATGAGCACAGGTTCATAGGCAAACACACTCTCATACACTCTCTCTCATATACACAGAAATATTCTCTCCTACAGAGAACAGTCTAAAAGATTAGACCTCCTTGAACCAAAAGGAATTTTTTGTTGTTGTTTTATTGAATGAATCTAGAGTTGGGGGCTTTCAGGGTATTTGTTTTAGAGAAAAGATTCTTTGTACAAACTTCTACTAGTGTAGCATTTCTTAGTTGTTTAACTATCTGAAAGAACAACTACCAGGGAATAGTTTTGTAGCACAGAAACAGTTTATAGCATTTCTATCCATAGAAATCCTTTAAAAACTGATCAGTTGTGTAGCAGGAATTAATGGAAATAAATAAGAGAATTCACATTTTAAAAATATTTATTATTTTTATTTTATGTGTATGAGTGTATTGCCTTCATGTGTGTGAATGCACCCATGGCATGCAATGCTGCAGAGGTCAGAAGAGGGCTTGGGATTCCCCTGGAACTGGAATTAAGGACAGTTTGAAGCTGCCATATGGGTGCTAGGAATCAAACTCGGGTCCTCTGCAAGAGCAGTCAGTGCAATCTTAACCACTGAGCCATCTCTCCAGCCCCCAGAGAATTCATATTTTAAATAGTAAACTATGTTTTAACATTTAAAAAAACCAGTAAAATGGGAAGAACTGGCATGTTATCTTAGGCACACCCCCAAGTGAACTGGTGGGAACTTCAAGAGGAACTAAACAAGAAGTACTGAACTCAGGTGTCAGATTAGCTAGGGTCAGGGTATCTTTACAGACAGGGAAGGCTGTACAGTTAGCCACCTTGGGTTAAAGAGTGCCTATAATCTCATTAGAATGCCCAAGGGCATTTAAGAAAATTGTATTTGTCTTAGATGCCTTACACATTCTTCCATAGGGGTAGAAGGAAGTGAGGAGTCCATGTACATAGGCAAAGCATGGTGATTAATCTTCCATCTTAGCCTGACTAGATTTGGAATCACCCAGGACATCATTAGGAAAGTGTTTCCAAGGAGGTTTAACTGAGGAAAGAACACCTATCCTGAATATCTTAAGCACGACAGCATGAACTGTGGCCCCAGAATTTATTCATTCTGGGGAAAAATAGGCCAGATGAGCACTAACATTCATGCCTCTCTGCTTCCTGACTGTGTACACAGGGTGACCAGCTGCTGCACACTCCTGTCACCATGGCGTCCTCAACCATGATTGACTGTTTCACCTCAAACCATGAGACAAAATAAGCCCTTCCTTTATTTGTTTGTGTCGGGTATTTGGTCACGGCAATAAAGAAAGCAACTAATGCACATTATGGCACATGAGGAAGGCTGGTCATACTTATATTCCCTCTGGATTAAAATGGGATTTCTTTTAGTGGTTGAGTAAATAGAGAATCTGGTCGACCTACTAGTAATAGATGTAGAGGGGAATTGTCAAGGGTAAAGCCATTGGAATAGGGTTCAAGGATGTAGTAAAGCCCTGATGGGGAACAAGATGCAGACTTTAAGCAGTGTTCATCTAAATGTGTAGGAAATAGCTGGTAGAAATAGGAAACAGCTCTTGCTGAATGGTCAAACCCAGAACACACCATGATCAAAGAAGCTTGTGCTAAGTTAAGTCTTTCAAATCATCATGCCTTTTCTGGTGCCACTCCAGTTTCAAGGTATTGATTCATTCACTACAGTTTTTTTGTTGTTATTGTTGTTGTTAAAAATTTTAAATTCACTTCATAAAACATTATAAAATGGAACATTTGTCAACTACTTTTAGCAACTGATAGAGTGACCAACAGCAGCATCAGAAAATTCTTACAGACAGTTGTCCATATGTGACTGTAAACCTCCCGATGACTGACACCACAAGAAAGGATTCAGATAACAATGCCTCACTGACTAGGCAAGGAACTCCGTTGCTTCTTAATGAACACCCAGGGCTTTATGTTGTGAGCAGGAATTCAGTGAAAGCAAATAAGTTCTTTGAAATAAAGAAATGCATCATCCCAAAAGAGAGGTTTGGGGGATGCAGCAGTATTCACACTCTGCGGCAGTGTCAGCATCTGCCATTTATCCTTTTCCCAGCAGCCCTGTAGATCTCTTGAAGATTCACAGTCTTGATGATAGAGTTACAGAGATTTTGTGCAAGAATCTTGGCATTGTGACTTCCAAATTACAAACTGGAATAGAAGCCATTCAGCCCAATGTAGTACAAAAATAACTTAATATAGGCCTGCTGTGCAGATTCCAGACTATTATCTTATGTAAAAGGCTCAACACAAGACTGACTAGAGTTTCATTCAGCAGAAGTAGGATGGCCAAAATTAAGTCATGGATGCTGTGCATGAAAAACTGGAAACAGTGGCTATTCATGAGATTTAAAAGGAAATTAGATACATAAACCATGCACAGCAGAATAAGTTTTAAGTGAAAAGTAGTTATGGGGCTGAGGCAATGACTCAGTCAGTAAAGTGCTTGCTGTGCAAGCATGAGTATCCGAGTTTGAATCCCCAGCACCCATATAAAAAGCCAGGCATGGCTGCTTGTGTTTGTAAGACCAACACTGCAGGTGGGGACAAGAAAATCCCTGAGACTTGCTGGCCAGCCATCTAGACAAGCAAGTGAGCTCCAGGTTCAGTAAGAGATCTTACTAAAAAATAGGATGGCGAGCAACTGAGGACTATATCTGATGCTGCCCTCTGGCCTCCACATGCACACACACACACACACACACACACACACACACTACACACATACAGGCACACACATAGAACACACAAGAAATGGTCTTTTCATCCGAAATACCACCAAAATATTAGAAAAATAACCTAGCCCACAAGAAAGATGCCTCCTAAACTGTACAGAATCCCCTTTGCTTTACAGCAGCTGAGTTCTTAATGGCACAGAACAAGCCTAATATAAAACATGATCAATCTGAGATAATGGATTTATTTCCAATGAAGGTTCATAAAAATGTATCCGTGCTAATGTTGTTTCAACGTCTAAAATCTCTCATGGGGATTTTTATCTATACAGATACTCAGAGTGTTTTGCCAGGCCAAGTATTTGGTGTCCGTACTTGGCACTTGGACTTTTGGAGAATAATGTTGGTAACAGAATTTCATTAAAACATATGGTATAATGTAAACTGCATTATTTATCCACAGAAAGGTAAAATAAAAATAATTCCCAAGTCTCTTGGTCACTTAGCATTCATTCTGAAGCATAACACAGTTTTTCATGTGTGTTTCTTTCTGACCAATGTGGAATTTCTTAGGGAAAGCTTTCCTTGATTCTTACACTAGTGATGTGAAAAAACTCTTTGCTGGGCATGGTAGCTCATACCTGAAACCTCAGGACTTAGAGGCTGTGGCAGGAGGATTGGTACTTGTTCCAGACCAGCTTGAGTTATTATCGATGACTTCTTGCCAGTGATTTTGAAAGAGGACAGAGGTAGGTCAGCACCTAGCCCAACCATGCCCGGAAAACGAGGAAGCGTGTGTGTGTGTGTGTGTGTGTGTGTGTGTGTGTGTGTCTGTCTGTCTGTCTGTCTGTCTGTCTGTCTGTCTGTCTTAACTTCTAAGTTGCAGGCCAGCTAAATGGCTCAGTGGTTAAAGCTCTTATAGTGCAAACCTGGGGACCTGAGTTCCATCCTTGGAACCCACATAAAGGGAGAAGTTGTCCTCTGACCTTACCTACTCCCACGTACATATCATGGGCAAACTCACACTGACATACACAAAAACACACTAATAATATTTTTTTAATTTTTCTAAAAAGAATCTAAGCTTCTGTGATATGATATTTTCAATATTTTAAATTCTATTTCGTTCTTCAAATTTACTTTATAACATTTTAGTTCTGATGCAGAAGCTATTCTTATGTTTACAAAGAAGTTACAGATCTCTGACAGTTCTTTTGAGACATTTGGTTTTTTCTGTAAGCTAATAATCCCCCAAATCTGAATTAGAGGTGATATGTTACACAGACTCTCAGTCACATGCTAAGGATTCCCCTCTGACTCTGTCACATTTCTCTTCATATCCCTTCATCCATCTCTACAGGAGGGCTCCATTGTTCACCTAAGTGACCTAACTTCAAACAAAGGACTCCCAAGAGTTCTATATATTCTTTTTTTAAACTGCTTTTCTATTGAATACAGTATTTTGAAACATAATAATGATTTTTCATATTTCTGTATAGTTTGTATAAATTTTTTACGTGTGTGTGTGTGTGTGTCTGTGTGTGTAGCATGTATATGCACATGTAGGTGCCTTAGCCAATACATGCAAGTGTGGAGGCCCCAGGTTGACATCAGGTGTCTTTCTCTATTGCTTCCTTTTATTTTCTGAAATAGAGTCTCTTACTGAGTTTGGAGTTCACTGATTGGCTACACTGACTGGTCAGAAGACTCTAGGATCTGCCTTTCTTTGCCACCATCCTCTTGGGACTACAGATATACAGACCACCACCCCAGTTTTTATGT